CTGCAAGGTTCAGCCAGAAACCCTGGAAGCATATTCTGCCAACAGCAATGGAGGACAGCTAAATGCATCATGAACTGGAGGACCTGGCAATTGAGGAAGAGAGGCAGGAGGGAGATAGAATTTTCCCTCAAAGACCTCAGTTATGAGCTACTGCCAGAACGCGAATGCCAGACTAGATGAACCAATGCTCTGCTCCAGTCCAGCAAATCCTTATATATCTATTACTTACAGAGATGTGTGCTATAGGTTGGGGAACTTCAATTGAATCTGTTCCATTCAAAATATCTGTCCTCTGAATCTCTCTACCATCCAACCATAGTGTGCGCCACTCTTCCATATAAAATCAAATTCTATTCTTTTTGGAAGTATTTTAAAAAATACATTAGAAAATAGAACCAAACAAAACTAAAGCTAGAGGCAATATTCTTTCTTTGCAAGGTTTCAGATCCAAACACCTTCTTCAGGCAGAGGAGAATTCAAAGGCTAAAAGTTCTGCTCCCTGCCCTTGAATCTTTGAACTCTCCTCTCCCTGAAGTTGGGTGTTTGGATTTGAAAGCTTGCAAAGAAAGAATATTGCTTCTAGCACAAGAGTTTTATCTGCTTCTGCTTCTTAGACCAACACGGCTATAAGCTATATCCCTGAAACATAAAATATGCATTTACTACCCTGGTTTTCATTTTGACTCACTACAATATACTTGTTATATGGTTACAGTACATCGTAGGCTGTTGGAAATATTTTGCAGTTAAATACATTCATGTGTCAACCTGAATATGGGGAAATGGAAAGAAAAAAAAAAAATAACTGACACCCACCAGTGGCCGTGGGCCAAATGATGACAGTAAAATTTACATGAACCATATACACACCTATGTCTGCTAACACCAATAATAAATGGAGGCTGGATGATAATTCTGCATAATGAGCTGCAATAAACAGATTAAGATAGTATAAACCTCGTAATGTTTTAAAACAAGGGTCATCAACCTTCTGTGGGCCACAAATCTCCGGCCCCTGGAGTATTCAAGCTGCATGCACTTACCCCCACCATCAGTCCCCATCCTGAATGGCAATAAAAAATAGCAAATTCTGTGGCAAGGGTAAGCACATGCACAAGACAGCAGCAAGGAGGGCTTGAGTAGACAGACAGAACAGTACAGCTGCACGCATCCAACCCCCCACCATGTAACTCTGAACTGCATCATACCTTAGTAGGTTGGATCCAAACTCTTTTCAGACAGAATCCAGCCTGCAGGTCAAAGGTTGCCAAGCCTTGTTTTCAAATTAACATTTTAAAGTTGCTTAGAAGATTTGCTGTAGTTTCTATTCACTTTAATGATGCATATTAAATGGAATTATGAGTTTACCACCTACTTTCACAACGTCTTCTCAAAGTTTCCATTTCCATATTAGAGACTGGCAACAAAGGACAACAGCAAGATAACCCTAACCAAAATACTTGTTCAAGGGGGGCTGGGTTTGAAACCGTGTTTCACTGAAGTCCAACATAAAAAAGTCCTATATATTATTAATATCAAAACAAAAATTAAAAAATAAACCAACAAGATAGCAGCAATAGGTCAGTCAGTTTATACTGCACATTATTTACATTAAATTAGTCAATATTAAATATTTTTGCTATCCTGAACACCAGAAAAACCCCATTACCCAGCAACAACAACAAAATACAATCTACATCTTGCCAGAGTTCCTGAGGAAGCACAGAAGCCCATCCACGTAGACTAGTTCAAGATTGACCAGTTTAAAAAATTCTAAGCCAAGTCATTTTACATATGAAAGTAAAAAAATCATTAGGAGAAATACTCAAGCTGAAAGGAGGATAGGTGTTTATGACTCAGAATACCACTGGAGAGTGTTATATGGCTTGAAGGTTTTGCTGGGCAGAACAAAGAGTAGATTTGCACCTTATAGGTACATCTACGAGTGCAATTAATGCATATGAATAAACTCCAGAGCTTATTGCTCCAGAGTTTTTTGCTCCTGAATGCACTGTTTGAATGTGTACTGGGACTAAAAAACTCCAAAGCATATTGCTCTTGACTTTATTTGTGCACAGAACATGGAGCCTCGTGAGCGTAGCCTGGGCTGGCAGGGGACTTGGGGGGTCAGCCTACTAGCCCAGAGCTGCTCTGGCCAGGTTCCACATGCTACAGAGGGGCTGGCGTGGGTGCTCCCTGCCTGGGCAGCGTCTACACATGAGCTACTGTCCACAGAAAAATCCACAGCAGGCTAGTACTTGTAAATACGAGTACTTTTATAAGTATTTACAAGTACTACCCTGCTACGGAGTTATTAGTTTTATGCACCCAAATAGGGACACACATGTAGACACCAAGACATTTACTGAGTGGTTAATTAGTCAACTGTACAGTAAACATCTCGTGTCGACACACCCACATGTTAACCAATCAGAGATGCTTAAGCTTTCGTAAGCAACAATTTACTTCATCAGATGCTACTGGGGTTTTGTCGTCATTGTATTTTTTTAAAAGTGCTCAGATAAGTCTTGGTGGAGTTTGAGGTATGGCATTAGATGGGTAAGGAAGAGCCATTAAAAAAAAAAAAAAAAAAAAAAAAAAAAAAAAAAC